TTTGTGAGCATGTATCTGCATTTGTAAACGTGTGTGTGCATGTTGTGAGTCTCAGAATAAGGTTATATTTCCCAATGAATTCTGAATTCTGTTAGAGCCTAAACTGCTGGAAGATCAGGTTTATTTAACTTTAATGGATATTTATTGGAAGTGTCCTATGCCATTAGCATTATAGAATGGAGCCCTTTATCTCACTTAATCCCTCTCTTTACCAAGCATACCATCTGAAAATCACCAGTTATCATCTGCTTCCAACAACCCAGAATCTTAGTGAGATCTTTGCAGCCAAACAGGCAATGATCCTGTCCAATTAGTTAAATAAACTGGCAGAGCTTGGCTGACAAAGCGGAGATAATGCCCTGAGATAATTGTAGGGGGTGCTTTCTGATCACACCAATTGGCTGCATTTAATTATCTACCCGGCATCACTCAGGCAATTAACAAGATATTGGGAATTAAGGGTGGCCATGGTGACCAAGATGAGAATGTGAAATCTGGAAGGAGGAGTAGGGTTAGCTCTCAGCTGTCATGGCCACTGTCCCCCTGCAGTATAGTCTTGCTCTGTATCCCATGTCTACCAAGGGTGCTTCCCGAGACACAGCACCAACAAAGCCACATACAACATTTCTTTTGGTCGGAGACATGCCATCAAGGTAACTGTTCACAAAGGGTCACATAAATTTAATAATCACAAAGGAAGTTCTTCCATATGCTTTAAATTGCCACAAATAAGATGAAACAAGTCCAAAAAATATTGTTCAGAGTTTATTAGGACAGGTACATAACAGGAAGCTCAAAGATTGACAAAGCTACAACTTCTTGAAGGGGACCCTGAGCCTCCCTTCAGAATGTCGTCTTGTAGGTCTAAGAAGACATATACCCTGTGAGCCTTCCCTCCCTACAGCCTGGGAAACCTCATTAAAGTCACTCCTGTCTGAACAGTCCATAGTTTCAGGAGCCAGGAAATTGATCTGATGCATGTATTTTAAAATACTTACATTCTTACTGAGGGCTCAGGGTGTGATGACTAACATTTACGATAGCCCACTGACAACAGAGAACAATGCTGACCACCACACAATTCAAGCTTAACCCCCATCTGCCAATGAACTTCAACTCGGCGGGGGGGGGGGGGGGCGGGGGGGGGTGGATAACAGGTTAAAGCTGCAGAAAGGGGCCCCTTGCCACATGTCAGGTAAGATGGGGAGGATGGAAAGTCCAGAGTTAACAGCTGAGATAGATGGGTACTGTCGAGAATAGGCCACATGATGCCGTTTTCAACGAGCTCTTGAGTGAGGGGTCATCAGGGTGTCTGGTTGTTGAACCCATGGAGGATTGAGGTGTGTCTGTCCCTCTGTTTTGGTTGATAGGTTTCACAAACCACACACAGTCAAGACCTGGGTTTGAGAGCCAGGGAATGGACAGATGTTTTCAGGACGCCTATCTCAGATTCCCATGCTAAATCTATTGTTGAAGGACATGGAAATATGCAGGGGCATTAAGCCATTTTGCAGGTGCTAGAAAGCAACGCTTTCCTGTTTTCCTGATTCAGACAATGGGGAAACTAAGAAGAAAAATAATAGGAAAAGGCTTTCCTATATTTGCTTTAAAATTTTGTGTTATTTTGAATAGAGTAATCTTTTTTCCTTTTTTTGGTCAAATCTCATCTCTGTTCCTTTAGTTTTGGCAGAAATATTTATAGGAAAAGAGGATTAGAACAAAAAGACCTAATGATCCCATCCACCTATTGAAAGTTTGGTTGGTGAGAAGAGTCCACAGAAGGGCTCATGGTTAGGAGCTCAAAGAGGTGGAAAACTTCATGAGGAGAAAAAGAATTCATTTCCTAAGCAGTTTGCCCTGCACAGTGAACATAACCACACACTCAGAAATGTTTGAGTTTCACTCCACATTCCCCACCATTCTGGGGAAAGTGTCAGAATAGGCCTTCCCAGAGCTTTGCTAGCTTGTCCCTGGGTAAGAGCCTGAAAGAAGGAGAGCAGTGGGCGCCTCCTGCTTCTTTTCTTTCTGGTCTTTTTGCTCTCAGTCAGAGCCGGGTGGGATTCATCCAGTTACTGTCACTGAGAAAATGCCATGAGACTGCACAGTACTATGAAGTGGCTATGATGATGGTGATAGTGATGGTGGTGGTACAGATGAATGGGTCACCAAAGCCAGAAGATGGATACATCTGGGTTTGCATCAGAGCCATGCTAGCTAGATAGCAGGGAAAATGAGGCTTAGATTTCCTTTACAAATAGCATTCAGGAGTCCCTCCCAAGGCATTTCTTTCTGAGTAGTTCATTTTCTAAGCTCTTCATATTACTGTGTGGGGGCTACTATATCACCTATCTTTATTAATGAACAAAAAATAATTATGTGGCTGGGGTATAGCTCCTGGAAAGCACGTGTCTAGCATACTACAGCACTGGCTTCCATCACCAGCACCACATAAAAGACAAAAAGGAATGAATGATGGTCACCTGAAATTAAGGAATGAGAAGGCTGAAGGCTTGAAGGCATGGCCCCTAAATTCTCTGGAATTTTTTGGAAAATGAAGAATGGGAGGAGATGAGTTGGTTCTAAATACAGTTTTCCCAAGTATGGACTTAGGAAAATTCTGTTGCCAAGCAGACTCTTCTCTCATCCTCATAGGCAGGGGATTGTTTTGTCCTTGCTCGCTGATTTCTTGGGTGATGGGGGCCAGTGGAAGTTCACTTATCTACTGCTTGGCCTCTTAGATGCTCTAACCCCAAATTTTCCAGTCTCAAACATCACGACAGCAAGAAGGTAGAAGAGAGAATGAAGCACCGGTTTAGGAACAGTGAGTGGCTTCCTTGGCCTGGACACGTGAGGTATGGTTCTGCACAAGGCTGTGGCGGGTCAGTAGATGAGAGAGCTCTGCCTCCATGGGTGGGACTGATACCGAAAGCACACTCTGAGGCAATATGTTCATTCACCCCCTTCCTCTCTGGGAGTCCTCACGGCAAGGATCCAGTGCCCTTGAGGGTGTTGGGGATAGGGTTTCATGTCTACACCCTAAGTGGTCTTCGTTAGTTTAAGTCCCCACACAGCAGTCTGAGCATAGACCAGGCAAGGCTATCGGGAACCTAGACTCAGTTTATCTTTCTCACCTCAAGCCATAAGAGTGAGCAGTGGAAGGCCTGGAGGCAAAAGTGCTGTATTTGGGTTCATGTCTGTATGTACAGATACAGGCATCTATCTAAAATTATCTGCATGGTGGGTGCTGGTCTCTGTAAAGGACTGGCTGCCAATCTCAACTATTGCCAGGGGTCCTAGGGCCAATGAAGTTTCTTGCCAATTAGATATAGCTTTGATCTCCCTTAGGTTTTAAACATCCAAATTCCAAGTGAAAGCCAGATGGTGAGCTGATTTTTAAATGCACAGATTTCAGGCACCCCACTGAGCTCTGTCTTTCCCCATCATTCTTCAGCTTGTGTTTGTGTGTGTGTGAGAGAGAGTTTTGTCTTGTCTTTATTTTTTTAAGATATTTCCTTAACTCCATAGGCCTTGAATGTGGCCATTATTCATCTTCACTCCCCAGATCAATTTGAAGGATGGATGCTTTTGAAACCAGAAATGAAAGAGCATCCTGATCTGAGAGCAAAGACTCTGGATCCCATGATGGAGACACTTTCCATGTCTCAGCTTTCCAAATGTCAGAGGCAGCAAAAAAAAAAAAAAAACAAAAAAACCCTCCATGATACTGAAGGCTTCCCAGAGATGCTGAAGTGACTCACCAGGGCTGCCTTACAGGACCCAGACACACCAGTGTAGCTGGAACATCTCCAGCAGCAACAAGCTTAAGGCACACTTTTGCAAATGTACACTTTGAAATAAACATGTCAATCATAAAATGGCTCTAAGCAGTTTTAATGGTTGGAAAATAGCCTCCCTGCTCTCTCTTTCCCTTCCCCTTTCCTCTGTATGTTCGTTTTTAAGCAAACAGAGAGAACCTTCTGTGTGACTAGTCCTTGGTTTGATGTGTGCCACACCCACAAAACAGGGCTAAAGTCCTCCAGATGCACTCTTAACTGTAGATTGGGTTAAGTTCCATTTAAGTGACAGTGTTCAAAGCAAAGCCCATCACCTGGTTCACACATCTTTTCCTTACAGTCAGAATAAAAGGCCCCCTATCCAAGCTTCCCAGTTAGGGATGCGGTGAGGGGACACAGGGGAGTGGGGTTGGGGGCCTGTGCTGGCTCAAAGACAAATTGTTCCTGGGGTTTTATTGTTTCTCAGTAGTCAAGTGTGTTAACATCAATCCATTCAGAAAATTTAGTTCGAATATCTGTTAACCTAATCCCTGCTGCTTCCTCCTGGATTATGCTGTTACCAAGGCCTCTCACTCACTTGAAGCAACTTTCCAGTTCCCAGCTGTACTTGCCCATAAGCCCAAGACCATCAGAAAGTTAAGAATGAGGGGGTAGGATGTCTAAACATCCTGCCTGCTTGCTCCCTAAGCAGTTGGTTGAACTTCCTCTCATTCTGACAGTTTCAACAATACTGAGGGGGATTAAGGGGAAATGCCAGACGGCAAATGTACACAAAGGCAGCCATCCTGAAAAAGTCCCGCATAGGAAGGGTAGAGCCTTCTTCTCACACAGTTAAATAATTAAATGGTTTTGTTCTCTACCCTACGAAGGAAAAGGAATTGTTTCCATCCTAATTAGCACCAGTAGCTCCTTTTCTTCTCCGATGAATGAAGAGATAAGAAAAGTCTTTGAAGCCCGCCCCCCACCCCACTTCCCCCACCCCCGTGACTCCTCAAGTCCTGATTGGGAACCAGAAGAACACATTAAATCAGTTGATTTTGGATTTGAAAGGGTTATGTGAGTGAGGCTTGTCAATATCCACAAAACTCCCCACAATGACAAGCCAACACACAGTTTTCAGGCCTAGACAAAGCAAATGCAGCTGGAGAATACCTGCCCATCCCATGTCACCAGGCTCTTAAGGGGACAGTGCACATTCTTTGCTGAGAGTCCAGTCCAGTCTTTCAGAATGATGTTGGTCACCCCCTTATCGGGGACTGGAAAGTTCTGAAAGTAGTGGCAGCTGCCTGTGTTTCTACAGCCACATTGTCTTCAGCAGTCTGTCCCAGGTGCTGGGCTGTGGGAAAGAAAAGATTACAGTGTTGGAAGCCATGGAACCTTGTCACATCTACATCTTGGTCCCTTGCCTCCACTCCACACGCACTTACAGGATAGGCTCCCCTGGGACTGGGCTGGGGAGGTTGGGTTTAACATCAAATGGCCAGCTGACTGTTCCTGTCTCTTCCCCTCAGTACTGTGATCTGTGCTTCCCACCCCACATCTGCCCACCCAGGTACCCAAGTAACCTCTGGCTTCTTACCTGTACTGATTCTCCAGGGCTCGACTCTCGGCTCGCTCCGGAACCCAGGAATAGCTGTCAGCTGCATTCTGGGGCTTCTTCTCTTTTATCTCTTCCTTCTTGGCTCTCCGTTTACGATAAATGAGAAGCCCTAAGGCCAGAGCCAGCAAGAGTGAGATGGCCACCACAGTGCCCAGGATGTAGAACAGAAGCAGCTTCTGCCCATTGGTGTCGCTGTCACTGTGTGCCGCCACAGAATCTTCATGTGTGGGCTTGCTGTGGCCAGTGGCCGTGGGGAGGTGTGTACTCAGCTCCATCCAGACACCAGATGCCTCACTAGGGACTGATATTTCTGGTGGAACAGAGGCATTGGGGGTATCCGATGGGAGGGAGGGGTGATCTGTGGTGTGTCCTCCCTTGTAGACATTCTCAGAGCCTCTAGAAGAACTGGGCATTTCAGAAGGAGGCACAGTACTCCCCTTTCTATCACCTTTGCCATCCTTTTGGGGAGGTCTGGTTGGTGGTTCTAAAGATACAATGCCCTTGATACAAGAGACTCCATTGGGAGCCAGCTCCCAGCCTGGCAGGCAGCCACAGCTGAAGGAACCCTCCGAGTTGAAGCAAAAGGTGTCACATGGATTGCCGCTGGAGTTCAAACACTCGTCTATATCCTCACATTGGGTACTGTCTTCCCCAGACAAGGCATAGCCATCTTTACAGGAGCAGTGGAAAGAGCCAACAGTGTTGACACAGTCATGGGCACAGGGCGAGTGGGCACATTCATCCACATCCTCACAGACCTCCTCTTTGGGGCCACTGGATTGGTAGCCCACCCAACACTCACACTGGAAGCCTCCAGGAGTGTTGATACATCCCTGGGCACAGGGGGAGTCCTGGCACTCATCTATATCCACACAGTGTACTTGGCTAGAGTCCAGCTGGTAGCCACTTGGACACTGGCATGTGTAGTTTTCGCTGAGGGGTACAGGATGACATGTGCCCCCTCCTGTGCATGGACTGGAGCTACAGGGGTTCCGAGAAGCACAAGTTACTAAGTCGTCCAGCAGCCGAAATCCAGGCCGGCAGCCACAGCGGAAGGAGCCATCCCCACCTTCGAAGCAGTCCTGCTGACAGCCCCCATTGTTGAAACTGCAGCCAAACTCGGGGCTGACACAGAGGGGGCCTGAGCTGCCCCAATGGAATATACCTGGAGTCTTTTCATTGCATATGAAATAACGAATCTTATTCTCAGCCTTATCCCCACAGGCTACATTGGCAGCAGAGGCAAAAGGCACAGCCTCCAGGGAGGAGGTGGTGGCCTGGAAAGGGGTGGTATAAGTCACCTGCCCTGGACCACCCAGGGCGAGGGGACTGCACATGCCTTTGAAGTTGAACTTGCACAGGAAACCTTCAATGTTTTTACCTGGATCATCAGGAGTCCCACAGGGGCTCTCATACCACTTGGGGAGGTGACTAGGGTGAGGTGTCAAGGACAGGTCCAGTATCAGGGACACACAGCGCTTAGAGGTACAGGATCTCTTGCTCTCTTTGTACCAGTTTGAATAAGCTGTGTCCTCTCCACCACCCACCCAGCTGAAGCCCTTCATTGGCAAATCATGGTACGTACACTTGCCCTTCTCTCGCTGAAGCCCGATCCAGAATTTGCCCATCTTGGCTTCCAAGGGTTCCTTGGTCTTCAAGAGCTGAGCCAGGGCTTGCTGGACGTGCCGGGCCTCCTCCTCGCTCTTCACCGTGGCTAGATTGCCTCCATTCTCATTGCAGCGATGCTGGGCTTCAGCGGCGCTCAGCTTGCCCCAGTGGGCAGTGTAGCAGGCAGTCCCCTGGCATACGACAGCCTCTGAATCAGCAGCAGCCCCTGCCCAGGGCTGACCCAGGAGCAGCAGCAGCAGCAGCAGCAAACCTGTTGAGATGGCCATTCTGCTGTGTCTTCTTCTGGGAGAGGCTAGACTCCCCCACAATGACAGCAGCCCCCTCTGGATCTTAGAGCTTGGCACCCGGTTGTGCTCCGAGGGGAGCTGAGGGCTGTGGCTCTGCTGCAAAGCCACTACAGCTCTGGCGCAGAGAAGGTTACAGACTCCAGGCTTTTTACGTCCCCCTGACCCAGGGCGCATCCTGTGCTCTAGTACTTCTTATTTCTCACCGGATGCTGGGGCTTCCTGCCGTGAATAGCATTCTGACTCCTGTTGCCTTCATCACGGTTTTGTTGTTCACAGGACGACCGTGTGGCTGGTCTCTGGCTCAGAGCTGTGGAAACACGATGGGGAGTACAGAGGAGCCAAGAGATATGGCTGCTTTATTTTGGGTCCATTCACTTTCCCATAGCGTGAAGAGCCCCAGTGGCATGCGGTCTAGTGAGCAGAGGCTTTGGGGGCTAGGGACTTGAAAAGGATCATCCAAGTAACCCATAATAAAATTCCATTTCAGATTGCAAACCACCAAAAGAGAAAGAAAAATATGTGAGACTTGAGGCACAAGGCCATGGATAGATACAGTTTTCAGCCTTTTTTAGAAGCAAACTGGATCTGCCTTTTTCCTATCTTGTGCCCCCCCCACCTCCTGTTTTTGGAGTCCTTTTTTTTTTTTCTTTTATTCTTCCAATCATGAACTTTAAATAGATAGGCAGTTTTTAAATAGGATTTCGAACGTGGGAATCTCTGGATTTTCAACAATGCCAAGTTCCCTGAGAACATTAAACCAAATTGGGTGAAAATAGGCCGTTTTCAGGGTTTCCTAGAGCATTGTGAAGTGGCAGGATCACAAGAAAGGTCAGAGAGACAGGAAAATGGACCGGCCTCTCTTGAGGAAAGTGTTGCATGTCTCCTACCTCAAGGCTTAGGGGGAGTTCAAAGGCAGAGCCATGGCAGGCACCTGGACTAAAGGCCCTGAATCAAAGGGTAAATTTACCCAAGCCAGTCACGAGATGTCGAAAACTAGGTTTAATTGTCTCCTGCCACCCCCACATCACTGTGCTCCATCCCACCCAGCTAGACTCAGAGACAAAGTTTTGGAGTAAGTGGTCCATTAAGACATCAAGTGCATCACTGTCAGAAGGAGCCCACATAGGTGATCTAATGAACCTAGCCTCCCAAGACATGGTAAAAGCCAAACCACAGTGTCCTCCCAGCTGAGGCAGGACAGTAGGCAGTTTTTGAGCTCTCCTCTGTCCCTGGCAGCTGGTTATTACACTATTCTCTAACGTGGTCTTGAGATTTCTTTATAAATTCCAGCCTTGGCCTGCCAGACCCTGTGCCCCTTCCACAGGCAAGAGTGAAACAGGCAAAAGTCCTGGTCGTTATTCATTGACCCAGATACAGTTTCTTCCTCCCAAGATGACCACTGTCTGACTGGGACTGGAGTGTGATTGTGACATACTAAAGAAGCAACCCAACAGAACACATGAAACAGCAGATTTGTGTCATCACAGATCCCAAAACCAGTAGGAAGTGGGGAGTATGGAGACACTGAAAGGGAGAGAGAGGGGTAGAGAAAGAAGGAGGAAGGGAGGGCGAGAGGGAGGGAGAAGAGAGAGAAAGGGAGTGACAGAGCCTTTATGGGGATTCAGGATGTCGTCTAGGCAGGGTTTTTAGAGGAATGTTATCTGGGGTTCAGAAAAAAATAGGCATGATTCCCAAGGATTCATTCATACCTTTTTATCAGGTGTCCATAGAATACCGTCCACCATATCAACCCATTAACCTAATTTAACCAACAATCCATTACCTACTTAGTCATCCACCAATCCATCCATCTATCTACTCATCCATCTCCACTGCAAACGGGTCATTCGACCCACAGATTGAGAACAACTGCTCTAAGGGTAATATAGCTAAGAGTGGTGTCCATGTGGGAAGGAGCATATGTCAAGGCCTTGTGGACAAGAGAATGAATGTAGGACAGTGAGCCTAGAGCCTGCAGTGTGGGAGGCAGGATAGAGAAGATGGAGTCCTGTGAGGCCAAATGGTATGGGATTTTCTTTGGCATTCTTTGGGGAAGACAGAGAAGACAACATAAGACAATTTTGTAGACAATGAGCAGTGGGGTTGGGGGACCACTCAGCAATCAAACTTGGATTTCCAGGACAAGAAAAGGATATAGGGACTGTGCTGGTCCTGGCTTGGGGTCAATGGATTTGAGAAGTGTTGAAAATGCAGAGCCAACTGCTGTCGGTGTTGTGTGCTGTCGGGTATGGGGTGCTTCTATGGGTCATGTTGACAGATCGGGTCCTAGAAGGCTGTGTCTACTGGAATGAAGATATGAGGTCTGGGACATAGAACAATGGAGAGGCATACTTCTTGACTATCAGCATCTTCCAGTTCCTCTTTCTTTGAGGACCTACTTAGGACTCTCAATTCACTCCTAGAGTAAAGGAAGAGCCAGACTGGTAAGGAATTAGGAAGGTGGTGTCCTTGGCTCCAGGGCTATGGTGTTGTGTTTGATGGAGGTCAGTACTCCCCTTGTACCTCTAGAGAATCTAGATTTATAAAAGCAGGTCACTTCTTAATAGTTATAACATTGATTCAGCATCTTTGGTTTTGCGTGGCAACATGGGCTAACATGGTTTCATAACCTTCTCCTGGTCTAAACCTGTGACTATTCATTCTAAGACCAAATCCTTCATTAACACAGCACCCTACAGGAGTTTTCCAGCATGTCCCATTATTGCTGCATAAAGACAGCTGACTTAATACATGGGGAGGTGCTTTATCTTATCGCAACTTGATATTCCATGTTTTATTGATAGTCATGGGAGACCTGCCCTTTCCTGTATGGAGATGGAAGAAGAGGGGATTGGGGAGTAGGAGGGGGAAATGGGAGAAAGAGCCTGAGAGGGGAGGATGGTGGTGGGGGGAGGCTGTGGCTGGGATGTAAAATACATAGATGAATTTAAAAAGAAGATACAGACTGAATGAATAGCTGACAGTTTGTTAACTACTCTGGCCCACAGATATTTGCCTCTATTTCTTAGGTGACATTTCTTGGTCTTCCACAAAGGAACTTCCAAATCTATTATTTGCTCTTAGCTACATGTCAATATCTTAAAAAGGACAGTCATCTAGGAGGAAGTGTGATTTGCTTGTTTACCCATTACCATGGAAAGTTATTTCTGCAACACACACTATGAAAAAGGCCAGGAAACCACTTGGTGATTCCCAGGAATCTGGTTGGCTTAGCCTCAGCTCTTGCCTCTCTCTTTTGTGACTAGAGATAGAATCCAGGCCACAGTAAAATCCTGCCTTGTTCTCCCTTCTAAAACAAGGGAGAAAGCTAGGAAAGAGCAGCATGGGGGCTTCAGGCGCTCTCACACAGTCGGTGCGACCACATACTTCACAAAGCCTCTCTCTGAAGTACACAGGAATTTGTCCACACAAAGTGGAAAGCAATTCTCCTGGCTATGCACATCTCGTTTTTATTAACCCTCCTCCTCGTCCTCTTAAGACAGGGTCTCATGTAGCCCAGAGAGGCCTCCAAGCAGCGGTGTAGCAGAGGATGATCCTGTACTTCTGATCCACTGCCTCCAAAGTGCTGGGATTACAGGTGTGCACTACCACACTTGGCCATCTTCTCTTTGTTGAGGATACCTGCTGGGCTTTGTTAGGTTGATCTACTGAGCAGGTGGCAGAAGCATCACAAGGAGTCCAAGGTATGCCTGAGAGCTCAGGAGGAGGTAGTAGTTTACAGTCCTTAGATGGGATCTGGCTGCCATTTCTCAAGTATTTACAAAGGGTTGAATGAAAACCTTGAGGAACTTTGTTATACCTCACATGCTAAATCTGTAACTACTGCCTGGCCACAATGCAGATTTAACAAACTTCTCTAAGGACTTATGCTTAAATGGCAGGAATCAGCAGCTCAAAGTTCAGAAGAACTTTCTTTGTCAGGTCTTTAGATAAAAGTTAGTCCCTTTGTTCTAGAACAATCCCAAGCCTGGTGGGTGCTCAGAACCTTGGTCCCAAGTTTTCTGGTTCTACTCTGCAGTCTTTCTGGGTGCTCTGAGCTCACTTTCTGAATTGATTTTAAAGGGTTTTTCACATCATGCTGGGAGAGGAATGTTCTGGTCTCTAATCTGGGGACAGTTTAATCTCATTTGGTAGCAGATTAGTTGCTTGGGGGTCATTCAGGCATCTATCTGGCTTCTCTCTCTTTTTTCCTGCGACGTTTAGAGACAGACTACATTCCTCTCAGCAGTTGGCCTGCTCCCCCATCGAGTCCCCTCCCCGCCCCTCCCCCCACTCCCTGCGCATGCACTCTCCTCTTTGTGTTTCTTCTTCAGGGAGTGCACATTGAGTACCTACTGTGCAGCTGGCAGCATTATCTCCACATGGGGTGAGGGCAGGGGCTGCACTGCATTGGGAGCCTTGTAGCAGATAGGATGGAGAATGATGGGAAGCAAGCTGGCCCCAGTGGTCTCAGCAGCTGCTGCCTTGGTGATGAAAGACAAGTTCCAAAGGTGAGCCAGCAAGCAGGGTGTCCCTGAGCAGAGGGGTCAGTACATACCACAGGTGGCCTCACCAGCAGCTTCACCCAGGGCTGATGCAGGTTGAACACCTAACAGATGCAGGGAAGCAGGTGGTGATTCATCCACAGAAAATTTAAAACGGATGAAAACAAAGCCAGGCCTTTTATTTTAGTATTTTTAAAATTTATTTTTCTTCGGTTCGATTTTATGTGTGCAGGTATGTACGTGTGTTTGTGTGTGTACCTGCCTGGGATGTCCAGAGACCAACCTCAAGGTCCTCGGGTGCCCCTCACCTCGTTTTTTGAGACAGTTGAGATGTAGCCACTGAACTTGCTGGTTAAGCCAAGCTGGCTAGCTAGCAGGCCCAGGAATTCACCTCCCTCCTCCTCTAGAGCTGGGATTACAGACATGCACTGCCGTGTCTATCTTTATTTGACTTCTCGGCATGCAACTCAGATCCTCATGCTTACATGGCAAGCACTTTCCCAGTTGATCTACCTCTCCAGCTTTTCCTTGGTTTTTGGAGGCAGGGTCTGATGCAGGAAGGTCAGGATTTGAACTCACCTTATAGCCAAGGCCAGCCATAAACTCCTGATCTTCCTGCCTCTACCTCCAAAGGACTAGAATTACAGGCATGTGCCAACATGCTCAGCCTTTTGTTGTTTTATTTTTTTTTATTTCTGTTGTGTCCAAATAGGGTCATTGCTAAGCCCCTACCCCTCAGAAAGCTTTTACTGGTCTAATCCTTAGCACTGTGATCCACCATTGTGTTAACAATACTCGTGGAAGCCTCACGGCAGGCCCTTTTCCTTACTTATTCTTTAATAGGCAGAGGTTAATTTAGAGAATTCACAGCTACAGAGCAGGTGTCTGCCTGTGTGAAGCACTCTGCTAACTAGAGAGGGCTTAGCTCCCTAACTTATGCAG